GGGGTGAATTCAAGTCTTTGTTGGTGCCTCTTCTTGAGGAGTGGGGCTGAGGGTACAGGCTTTCGTATTTCAAACCTTAACATTCATTCCCAAATGAAAATCTTCATTTCTATTAAATTGAACCAGGTGTGTGTGTGTGTGTGTGTGTGTGTGTGTGTGTGTCTAATTTCTATTTAAATTTTCCTAAAATCCATTCAGTGTTCATCTTCTTACAGGTTTTGTAAGCCCTTCCGCACCCATTGTTTCTTCTGAAAACGTGAAATCTGTGGCTACCTGTGCATGACCTTGACTTCCAAAGAAATCTGTTCATTTCTAATTGTTGCCAGTTTGCGCTGGCTTGAGAATCAGATGACCTATTTGAACTAGTGGTGTCCTTCTGGTCACATCCTTTATTCGAAGTCTGAGTTTCCCTACTAAAATAGACTTGTTACCTTTGCCTCACAGAGTATTTCTCAGCTGAAAGGAAATAATGAAGGTGGTAACAAGCTAGCTATACAGCGTGGGTGACCTTGTGCACTCTGAAATTTCATTAAAATTTTTTTCCTAGTTCAGATTTCTTTAAGTCAGGAAAAAGAAACAGACTCGTTCAGTTTAGACAAGAATAAAGACTATATCCAAAGTTTTCAGAATAATGGAAAGTTTTAAGGTAGAGTGAAATCATCACTCTCTTCCTTCAATAATAATGCTAATAGTATGAGGGCTGTGAAATACTAATTAGAACTAATGCCCTGAATTCGTTTACATAATTTATCTATGAAAGTGGATTTATCCAGAAATAGCAAATGGTTTCATGAAATTCAGAAGTAACCCAAATGGAAGGATGTGAGTTGGTTTTTAAAGTAATAGCCATATTCAAGGAACGAATTGATGTTAAAGTTATGAAAGTGAGGGCAAGTGATTTTAATAATTAGAAATTAATTTACTGGGCATTGGGAGGGAATTGTTTCTAAAATAAATTCCCCATTTCCCAAACACAAAATTGAAGCACTTGAGATTAGCAAGGATATGGGGGAAGGGGTATAGTCTTCTTATTTACTCCTAAGTATGTAATATATGTATATATTTGTCTTCATTTCTGTGTGAAATCAAATGGGTGGAACAGAGATTCTGACATCAATTATTTTTGGAATTTAGCAGAGTAAGGACAGAATTTGGAATCAGTCACCCCGAGTTCTGCCCCAGGTCCCCAACTTGAAGCGACTTCCTTCTCCTTGGAGGGAGGCAGCACAGCCCCAGCTCCGCTCAGGGCTCTGTCCGGGAAAGTGGGGTGCAGATGCAGTTGTCACCGCCAGCACAGTGACTGCTGCAAGACAACCAGCCCTTTGCAGCCGGAGACGCTCGTTCTGGCGACCGGCGGAAGGTGCGGCCCCTCATTCTGCCCGTTCACGATCTTTTCCAATTTGGCTAAGAGGACAGAGAACTGGGGGACTTAAGGAACTTGGACGCTCCGTTCTGTCCCAGGTTAGCGCATTCATTCATTCACCAGCTCTCCCACGGGCGGGTTGGGCGCGGGGCAGTGAGCGGTGGG